TCAAATGGCATTCTTTTCTTCCCTTTCCTGTGTTCCCTTAAAAAACAAAATACGAACGCAGGAGGAGATGGGTGGGGAATTTCTAGAACAAAATAAGTGTCCTAAACACAAGACCTGGTAGTAATGAGAGATCTTTAACTACACATATATCAGGTGGAAAGTAATGTGCAAAACACACTGTCCAACAAGTAGTTGGAATGTGTTTGGGACAACATTTTATTTAAGAAGGTGGAAAAAATAACAGGAGGTCAGCTTTGACCTCCTGTTGTTTTTTCCACCTTCTTAAATAAAATGTTTCTGACTAATGGGGAGGAATTGGTTGAGAATCTGAGGGTGGAAGGCTACTTGGGTGAAAGTGATGTCAAAATGATAGTTCATGGTTCTAAGTAAAGGAAGGAGTGAGAGCAGCAGAATAAGGACAACGGACTTCAGAAAAGCAGACTTTGACATGGGTCCCACAGTAAGGAAATCTAAGGAGAAAGGGAGAGATGACAATTTCTGAGAGACAATATTAAAGGCACAATAGCAAACTATACCAATGCAAAGAAAAGACAGGAAGAACATTAAGAGACCAATATAGCTGTAGCTCTTTCATGACCAGAAAATCAAAAAGTGTCAACAAGGACAAATTGGCAAGGATGAGAATAAAAGAATAGTTATAGCATGACAAAATCAGAAAGGCTAAGGCACAAAGAGTTCAACTAGTAAGGGATGTGAATAAGAAGTAAGAAGATGCTCTATAAATACATTAGAGGTAAGGGAAAGGCAAAGGATGGTCTAGGTACATTAGTTAATGGGGAAAGAGACTAATAACGGATGATGCAAAGAAGGTTGAAGTGTTAAATGCCTATTTTGAGTCAGTCTTCACTGAAAAGGTTAACTGTGACCAGATGCTTAACACAATTAATATTAACCAAGGGGAAAGAACATAGGTCAAATTAGGGAAAGAACAGGTTAAAGAATATTTCAATAAATTAATGTATTCAGGACAGCAGCACTTGATGAAATTCACCCTAGAGTACTTAAGGACAATAAGCAATCTAAGAACCATTAGCGATGATTTTTAAGAGCTCATGAAAGATGGGTGAGGTCCCAGAGGATTGGAGAAGGGCAAACATAGTACCTATCTTTAAAGAGAGGGAAAGAGGAGGACCTGGGAAATTATAGACCAGTCAACCTGATACCCATAAGGATACCAGAGCAAATTATTAAACAATCAATTTGTAAGTACCAAGAGGATAATTGGGTGATAATTAATAGACCACATGGATTTGTCAAGAACAAATCATGCCAAACCAACCTAGTTTCCTTCTTTGACAGGGTTACTGGACTACTGGATAAGGGGGAAGCTATAGATATGATAGATGTTGATTTTAGTAAGGCTTTTGATGCAGTCGCACATGACATTCCATAAGCAAACTAGGGAAATGTGATCTAGATGAAATTGCTATAAGATGGGTGTACAACTGCTGAAAAATCATTCTCACAGAATAGTTATCAGTGATTCATTTCAAACTGGGAGGACACTTTAAGTGGGGGTCCCACAGAAAAGTGCCGTTGGTCTGGTACTATTCAGTATTTTCATTAATGACTTCAAGTGCAGAGTGGAGAATACACTTATTAAATTTGTGGATGGCATGAAGCTGGGATGGGTTACAAGCACTTTGGAGGACAGGATTAGAATACAAAATGATCTTAATAAGTTGGAGAGTTGGTCTGAAAGGAACGTGATGAAATTCAGTGATAACAAGTGAAAAGTAGTACACTTAGGAAGGAAAAATCAGATGCACAAGTACAAAATGGGGAATAGCTGGGTAGGCAGTAGTACTGCAGAAAAGGATCCGGGCATTTATAGTGGATCACGAAGAGAATGAGTCGTCAATATGGTGCCGTTGTGAATAAAGCAAATGTCATTCCTGCGGTATATTAACTGGGAGATAATCATTCCTCTCTCCTGAATGCTGGGAGGCCTTAGATGGTGTGTGTATGTCTGTGTGTGTCCATCCAGTATTTGGTACCAAACCATAAGAAAGATGTGGAAAAATTGGAGAGTCCAGAGAAGAGCAACAAAAATAGAGGTTTAGAGAACCTGATATATGAGGAAAGGTTGAAAAAAGTTGGTTATATTTAGTCTAGAGAAGAAGACTGAGGTGGGGACAGGACATAAGTCTTGAAATATGTAAAAGGTCATCATAAAGAGAATGGTGGTCAGTTGTTCACCATGTCTACCAAGGGCAGGACAAGAAGTAATTGGCTTAGCTTGCAGCAAGTGTGCTTTAGGTTAATATCAGGAAAAACATTCTGACTAAAAGATAGTTAAGCTTAACTGTGTACATAAATAGTATACTTGTAGATCTAATTTAATATTTGAACAGGAATTGATTTTTTCAGCTTTTAGTTAATTACTGTTATAAAAGTCCCATATGGAATTCCAAGGGCAACATATGTGATAGGCATGTGTAGGACCCATGGTTCTTGGGGGGTATTGATAACTGTCACAGTGGAGATGTGTGTGCAGCTTTTGAATTTGTTATGACACAGTCTGGTGCCGCTTTGAGTTTGTGGGTGTATGTCATCCAGTGCACTAAATGCCCCAATAACAAATATCTGGGTGAAACCAGACAATCACTACACTCTTGAATTAACTCTTACAGAAAAATAAGACCAAAAAACCTCATCACCCGTGGGTGAATACTTTTCACAAAATGATCACTCTGTATCTGACTTCTCAGTCTTCATCCTCAAAGGAAACCTGTACAACCCACCTTCAAAAGATGAGTCTGGGAACATAAATTAACTGCTAGATACCAAAAATCATGGACTCAATAGCCTCACTGGATTTATGGCTCAATACAACAATCTAGAACCTACTAACCCTCCTTTTTCCTATGATTGCATGAATGTTAACTGCCCATTTCATCTTGAATGGTCTTTTACAGCATTTTAACTCCTTATGCTAAATAGTCTGTTCCATCTTGAATTTACCTGACAGAATGAGTACCTTTCACAGACCTGAAGAAGAGTTCTGTGTAGCGTGAAAACTTCTCTTTCATCAACAGAGATTGGTCCAATAAAAGATATTTCCTTACCCACCTCATTTCTCTAATATCCTGGAAACAACACTGCAATTAATTGTCATAGTATTCATTCCCAAAGTAAATCCAAGAAATATTCTTCCTTCTGTCAAGCAGCAAAGTCCAGTCCTGAGGAGCACTGACAGTCTTAGGGAAGAGAAGTCATGTTTCTTGTATTGAGATTTGCCAGGCATCTGCATGAGCATTGATATATACATTCACCCATATTTTATATGTTGGTTATTTTAACCTTGGTCCTTTTTTTTTTTTTTTGGGTCAGAAGTCAGTGCTGTAGTGCCCCAGGAAAGATGGAATATATATAATATACTTTGTTTTAGATGTCCATATTTAAAGAATGCTTCTGCTTCCCACCCTGGAGGCACATAGCTATGAAAATCCCATTGTAATGGATCTGTGGACCTGAGCACAATAAAGAATAGGAAAAATTGTTTGTCCATTTTTTTTTCTTTCTTTCTTTCAAGTAATGAGGTCCACAGAACTGGTCTGCCCTGTAGACAAATTGCATCATCCGGAATAAAGATGGAAATTGACATCCCCTTCCCATTCCCTTGCTGTCACTGACCAACTGATCTGATTCTGGCCCCTAATTACAATCAGTCTGAAGTACCAGATCTGTGGATCTTATTACTTTAAGAAAAGAAACTTTAAGGTAAGTGCAGATACAGTTTCCCATTGTGGTGTTTTCTTTAATACTTAAGCTGTCCTA